AAAACCGAGAGGGAAACAAGACTGCCAATGCAGCAACTGGAAGGCGTCAGCCCCCGTTCCCAAAAAAAATGTGACCTACCAAAAGGGAAGCGCTAACTTGGCACCCAGAAGGTGATGGGTCAAACTGTTCAGGGAAAAAAACAGGAGCCTAAATCTGAGGGACGCAGAATGTCATATATTCAGACTCTGTTTCATATTTGGGTGTGTTCTGTTTTCAGGGTACCTTTCTAGTCAACCTTACATAAACATGATGTTGGACACCACAGCAAAGCTCTGCCCGTTCTGCGCGAGATGCGAATGGAGGGGATCTGCTCTGGCGACAGGTCCTTGGCAGTCGTCACCAGCTGCAGGTCATAGAATTCATTTGGCTCGCGGATATTTGGGGATTTAAGAAATGCACAGCCCCTTTTGGGAGATTACTTTCCCACTTCCATGTTCGTGGGTCGCGGGAACGTTTGGCCGGCCCGGTCGAACAATGGCTTCAGCCGTTTGTGCGCGATCATGAGCGGTGAACTGCACAAGTTGCTCTGCGCAAGTTCACGTGTTTATGTCGTCCTCTGACAAGACTGTGGGGTCTGAACATACCGCATAACCTCGAGACAACTTCTGAAGACTCATCCGCGAGCACAACAAAAATAGCACAAGTCTTCGGTTTTTGCACATCGGACACGCCGATCCCCGCATCCAGGTGCGCATGCCATTAGTCGGCTTGGTCCCCACGCGCTGCCTTGAAAGATAATTGATTCGCTCGTGCAAGTTTTTCTCGTGCAAGTGCGCTCATGCGCGATTGCTCGCAAGTGTGCTGCATGCTCGTGCGAGCTCGCTATGGTTGTTTCGGCAGAACCCTTCGCAATGTTTTCTGGAAGAAACACAAACTGAAGTAAGGTGGCTGCAAACTAGACTCTCCGCGGCACTGTGCCGCGTACTGCGCAACGGGACAGAGTTTTAGCCTTCCTGATCAGCTCTCGTTGCATCATGACTCCCTCTCCCCCCCACAAACAACAAATGCCCGTGCAAAACACCCCGCCCCCCCCCCCCCCAAAGACAGGGTGGTCCCCCTTGGTCAGCCCCTTCGGCTCTCTCCGCTCGCTTCTCGGCACGTTTCTCGCTTCTCCGGGCGTCTGGATGGAAGCCAAGGACATCGATGACCCCAACCACCGGCAAGAGCAAGGTGTGCATGGTGAAGAGGAAGAACCAGATCTTTGTGGGGGTCCTCAGCTTCCCGTCTAGTTCGTTGAACCTGCCCCCCCCCCCCAAAAAAAAATGGGGCGATCCAACATGTGTGGAGAAAAACAAACATCAGAAACAAACCCGGGGACTTATATGAAGCAGCGCCATCATGCCGGATCTTGCCGAACCTGAGATTTCTATTCCTCATGATTCATGGTGCAAAAGTTAAACTTTTGCTGGTTAAAAGGAAATATGAGTTTTTTTGTGTTTTCTTAGTTAAAGTCTAAAGATCCAACCCAATAGCAGTAGAGGGGAGGATCGCCCATTTCCAAGGCTCCCGTCCCTTGCCAACTTCAGGAAACTGTTCCCCAGGCGGCCGTCTTTGAACCCGCACGGACATGACGGAAGCAGCTTTTGAAAGCCAACGGCTGCTATGGAGACATCCCATCCCTGGCCGAAAGCCTGAAAAGTGCCGTCCTTCAAGTTGAACGCCACAAATGTCAGAGGAGAATACAGGGAAGCTCAGCAGGTTGCCCCTTCTACAACTGGATGTCTTACAGGAATTCTTTGCTGGCACTATGCTGAAGGTGACTGGAATCCGAGATCCCATCATCCGCAGTGTGTGCTTTCTGGAGGGTACTCCCTTTGAGAAACCACCCATTTCCCTCGGCTTGAAGAGAAGAAGGAAGGGTGCGGGTAGATTTTCCAGATAGCCTATGCCTGACTGAGAAACTACCATAGGCAAGGTCTCTGGAGAGACACCATGGAGTGCGCCAGATGGTCATTGCTCAACAGTGAACCTCTTGAATTTGTTCTGCTCCTGCAGGCACCTCAAGTTTTGAACGCCCATGTGAATTCACAGCGCTCCTTGGACCTTAATTCTTAGAGAGCATTTACGGCTTCAATGAACCCAGTTCGTCCAGTCCCGGAAGATCTGAACCCAGCAGGTCCCATGGTCCAAGGCAACACCCAGCTTTGCTGCAACCGCCCTTCAGAAGAAAAACAAAACCAAAAAACACGACCTCTTGCCACCACCCTTGAGAAAGAATCAAACAACTGCTTCCTGCAACCACCCTGAGAAACACACAAAAAGCAATGACTTCCTGCAGCGCTTGGCAAAAAAAACTACCTTCCGACGACTTGTTTGGTGGCCCCAACCCTCGGTTGACGTTGGAAGGGGAGCAACAAAATATTTGTTTAGCAGTTGATTAAGTGGGGATGTCAACCACTAAACAACAAAAATAAAAAATGTGTCCAAAAAAAAAGTAAACCAATAAAAAAGAGTGTCCCACCAAAAACCTGAAACCCCTTCTCCGGGGCGTCCAACCCGCCGTGTCCGCCGTGTCTAAAAGATCCAAGCCGCTCCAGCTCCTCGGCCTCCACGATGTTCCCGGCGATCATGGCCCACATGATGAACCTGTCGCAGGGGAGGCTTGATTTTGGGCCAAAAGGACCCGGTTTCGGTGGACAGACTTCGGAATCTCGGTCGCAGATTTCTCTGCGAAGCCCTAGAAGTTTAGCTATAACTCTTAGTGGGTTTAATACGGAAAACCCACTAGTTCGCAAAAAACAGTTAAAGTCCTAACATCCATTAGTTTGCAAACTGCACCAAAGTTCGGGGAAAATGTGTCACTCCACCGGCCACTTTTCAGGGTTTGCAACTCTTATGCCTGCCTCGCCGAGATTCGCTGGTTCGAGAAGCGAATCAACCGGTTCTGGGAATGAACCGATTGGGCTTCCCTACGCAAAAAAATTGGTTGAGTTCGGGGGAACCCCGAAAAACGCAACAACACAAGTAGCTTCCTGGTTTCCAACCTCAAATTCGTCACCCCACGGGGGTAAAAGGCAAACGAGCAAACGGCACACTTCAGGGTTGGTTGAAGACGCCAGGCAAGGCAGTAGAGAACTGTTCATTTGTTCTTTTCAGGTGGCAAGCTTTTGCCTTCTTCAATCAACTGGAAACTGTTCTTCTTGGACCCTCAGATTTGTCACCAACTTGGGAAGAGAGTTGTTGCTGTTGAGTGAGAAAGCACACAACGTATCAGGCGCCCCCCCAAACGAGTGGTGCTGCCGCGGGCATACAATCTCAGCATCCGACTGGCAGACTTTTTGTTGGGGGGTTCTAGACTGGGTCATGGCTCCTTGCCAATCCGGATGCTCTGAATTCCCTCGCCGGATGGGCAAATCAAACTCATTGGAAACTACGGGGACCGACCCAGCGCAGGGTGCAAGTGGATGCAGTGTTGTCTTATTTGGGACAACCCCCCCCCAGAAAAAGAAGCGCGGCTTTCCTTAAGGCTTCCCCTTGAAAACAAGACAACTCAAAAAAAAAACACCCAGACGGTGTGTTGTTTCTCTGTGGGTGAAGAGCTCAACCAACCAAGGGATGTGTTTTTGGTGCACCTCCAATCACGGGGACCCTAGGTTCTGCTCTGGCCCAGGAGGCTCCATTCGAAGCATGGCTCTGCACCCGAAACATGTGATAAGCTCGGCTGGCAAGACCCCTCTGCAAAAAGCTTGGCTTTTTGTGGGTCAAATGGTTGAAATCCAGGCCAAATATCCAAGCAAATCGCCATAAAGCAAGTGGGGTTCGCATGCGTCCCCGCTATATACATTTTGAAGGGGATTCCCGTGACGCAAGTGGCAACTTTAACCCAAGCCAGCCACAGCCGTTGTTTTTGAGAGCGCGCCTTCCCCGCAAGAGCCCTGAACAGCCGGCAAGAAGAAGCTTCCCAACTTCAAGCTGCCTTTCCACAAGACTCATGCTTGGTTGCTGACCCCTCTGCAACAAGTTCTTACATTTTGTGGGTTGAATGGAAATCCAGTATTTCAACCAAACAGTTGAAAGTCCAAATCTCCGCTACGGCCATAACGCATTGGAACACCCGAAGGGACCAAACCCAAAACACAAGCCCCGTCGACAAGAATTCGTCGAAGTCGAGGACTCGGCAATGTGGCCATGAACAGGAAGAGGTGGATCTGAGCGCTTCGTTTTGCCCAATTGGGGGCGCCAAACGGGGGGGGTGATCAAGAGCTCCGATGAATATGGGATGACCATCGGGGAAAACTGCTAAAACTCTGATTTTCCCCTGCGAGAAAGGAAAAGTTACCCATAGCCCTATGGAAGCACTGCTCATTCCTCGTGGCTGAGATCGGAACACCACTAGAAGGGTTCATGGTGTATTTCCCCAGAAGCATGGAGAACCCCTCAGTCGAAGTCTAACTTTGGGGTCAGTCAAATGGGCTTCGCCACTTAGCTAGGTCCTCCAGTAGAGAGGTTCGCATACGTGTACCCATGTGTACCCGCTTTTCTGTAGTCTATTTTAGTAGGGGAACCCTCCCCCAACAAAGGGTAAAAGGGTACTACTGGGCTTGGTCGCTTGGGTTTGCAAAAGGTTGAAACTTGGGCAAGGCCTTGGGAACAGGTCGCAACTTGAAACGGCTTGAGCAAAACCGAATTGGCGACTCGAAGGCAGTGACGGATTGCTTGAATCGGTGCCTCGTCCATTAAAACCATCCGATCCGGGGCGCTATTTTGATGGGGCCGTGTGGGGTTATCCGAGCGCCATGCCTGGGGCCGGGATCAAACTATGCAACAGTTGCTTGCAGCGGATGTGGGCAAAAATTAGAGGTCCCGTTTTGCTGGTGTTTGGTTGCCCAGCCTCCGATTTCCCGGTTGTGTTTTAGGGCTCAAATGCTGTTTAAGATGGCCCAAAAAATGGGGCCACATCCATTTTAACGGTGGAGCCCTTTGAACAACCATGTCTTTCAGGGGATTGTAAGTGTTCAAGGTAGTGGCTCAACAAATATGGAAATCATGGACCTTGCGGGACAAAACAAAGATTACCAAATGGGCATTGCCCCCGCAAAATAAATATGGGAAGTTGCCTTCATTGCTATTTTTCGTTCATCCCGAGAAGTTCCAAAAAAGGCAATAGCTCACGACCGAGACATGCCCAACGCTCGAAACTCGCGGCAAGTGACGCATTCTCAAGTTGGCGTTCGGTTTGGTTGGGGTGCCGCGTTCCCAATGAGCCCAACTTGTCCAAAAGCCGCTCGAGCCGCAGCGAGGGTATTTGAAGACCCAGAAATCCACAGTTCCACCGAGCCACGTGGCCATGGGTCAAAATCCAAATCGTACCCCCAGTGAACATCCCAATCCCCAATAAAAACAATAACAAAATAAAATAACAAAATGGGTGGTGCACCTACCAACCAAAATGGGATCCCAAAACGGTTTTGACAACCACAGCCATGTGGCTGTCGAGCGCTCGCCCCTGCGCATCCGCGCGCCTTGGTGCTGGCCCAGGATTCGAACTCCGCGGTGATCACCAACAACATCGGGAAGCAGGCCATCCAGACCTACGGGATGCACGCTTTCCCAAAATCGAAAGCCCAGTCACTTGGGGAAAGGAACACATAGGAAGCCTCTCCTGTATTTGACCTGGGTTGAGTTCGCCAGGGTCTTCGCGGCGCTTCAACCGCTGACAGAACCAAAGAGATGCCTCAAACAAGCCTCTGACAGAACTTCCCCTTCTGACTTCTGATCAAGCGCTGGAAAAGCAGCAGGTAGAGTTGGGGGGTTGATGGCTCTTCACCTTCCGCAGTACTTGGCCCAACCGCACATGTGACATGCTGAGATCCTGGTCCACACGGCATTGCGGTGCTCTTTTCACGGAAAACTTTGTCTTTTCTAGTTTCTTTTTGTTGTTCTTTTTGGGAGGGGAGTTCCCTCACTTTGACACATTTGATGCAGTGAAGCATAGAGCGGCACCCCGGTAAAATGCTCTCAATCGGGCTTCAGGAGGGAATGAGGAAATGATCCCTATAAACCATCCCCTATGGTTGATGCCTTTCAGGGAATTTCTTAGGTTCATTCCCCAAACCCGGACTGGCTCATTCCCTATCGCGCCAGCAAGCAAAGGATCTAAACTTCCGGTGGGTTTCTTCAGATCCAAAGGCAGTGGCTTGTTTGGTTCAGTTGGAATTGCAGCAGTTTGGGTTTACACTCCATATTTCCGTAAGTGGCCTAAGTGAACAACTTAGACGTCTCTACAAAAACTGGGCTGCCCTCAGATCCCCTGCTAAAAGTTTAACTTTTAGTGGGTTAAATGGAAACCCCCACTAAACACTAAAAGGCTAAACAGCTAAGGGGATGGCTGGGAGGCACCAAGAAAAAAATGACAGTGAACATTGATCGCTGGATATCTACACTTCAGTGTGCTCCCGGATCAAAATTTTACATGGCCCCCAGTCCCTTCCGAGAGGCAACCCAAACTGACCGTGGGTTTGTTTACCACATGATCTGCCCAACACCTTTCAGGTGTCATTGACTCCCCTTACATGTTGGCGAGGTGTTCAGATACTCCTCAGGTGGTTTGGATTTGGATATCCCCGGGTTCTTGTGGGCAAACGGAAAGCTACCAAAGCTACCAAAAATACCAAAGTGTGGAGTCCTTGTGGCAAGTCCATCCTTTTCCCCAAATCGAACATGGGAAGTGGAAACTGGCAAAGAACATGCCCCATACAAGTTGCATCTTTGGGCCCCCCAGCAGCGAAGATCATGTTGGCCCAATATCCGAACCTCAGATCACACCGTCGATCGATTTCAACGGCTATGGCCATGGGTCAAAATCCCGGTCCCCCAGTGAACATCCGATTCAACCCCCACCAAAAATAGGTTCTAAAATGGGTGGTGAATTCACCAATCCCAACCAAAATGGTACCATTGGTTTGATCCATATGAGTTTTCATCGAAGGCTTGGATAAGAGGTGTGAAGGGGGAAACCCCATTTACCAAGGACGACAAGATCGAATCCCCATACCGTTGTCGTTGCTTCAAGAAACAACAAGAACCCCCCCCCTTGTGCAGCTGGATTTGGGGATAGTCCCAGTCCAAATCAGTGCTTTTGATGGGTGCCATCCCCAAAGTGCACAAGGGTAGATTGCACAACTTGCTGGTGCTCAGTAGAAAAATCAGGGAATGACCCTAAACCGTCCAACTGGTGGCTTCCTTTAAGGGGACCCCTGGTTACCATTCCCTCATTCCCTGAGCACCAGCAAGACAATCCCTTGGAACCAGCAACCAACAAATTGGAATCGGACTCGGCGCACGGAAGGGAGACCAGCAGCTTGTGAAATCCCACATCCCGCGTGACGCGTGGCCTTTGGGCCCAACGAGGCTCAATGTGTTTGTTGGGTTTCGCGTCCCAACCGAAAACCAAAAATGGCGCGGTGGGTTTCTCGCCAATGAGTCCATGCGCCCAAAGCCAGCTGCGCTACGTATTTTGGTTGGCGTTCAAAAGGAAACCACAGCAGGAACCAGCATTTTGGGGGTCAAACAAATGACGCCCTATGTGACTTTTTGATTTTTTTAAGGGGAACACCCTATTTGACTTCAAAGTCAAATCGGGGGTCCCCCAACTTCCAGGAAAGAAACGAACTTCCAGCAGCTCCAAACCGTGGGTTGCACCCCCTGTCCACTTCGATCCGCTTTCGAATCCGGTTCCAAGGGGCTGAAATTGGAACCAGCTCAGATAGGCGCGGGTCGCCTTGAGCCGGATGGTGTCCAGGTAGCTATAGCCTCCAGGCGCAAACATGGGCCAGCTCGTCTGTTCTTCATATTGTTTTGGTCGGCGGACCGGGGGGGGGGGGGCAAAAATGGCCGGTTTTCTTCCTTTTAAAAAGCCAACCCTTGAAGGGCAATGAATTCCCCAAAAAACGGACACACCCACATCCTGATGGAAACGAACCAATGGAAATCGATGGAAATCCATGGAAACCAACCCACTCAACCATGGTATCGGCGCAGTGGGTGGTCCTTCGGGCTTTTTTGAGCAAACAAAATGAGCCTCACAAAAAGACGCGCCACTACTCCGATGAAAAGTGAAGCCAAAGGAAGCAGACGGAAGCCGCAGGAAGCGGCAGGAAGCCAGGGAAACCAATAGTGAAGGAAACCCACAAGGGCAAACAATGAAACACGTGAGCTGAATCTGGCAATGCCAGCTGCGGAAGAAAAAAGAAGCTATATATCGGATCGCTGTGGCACCTTTCGCAACGAGAACCAGACCTCATCTGCGTAAGACCCGGCTGACATAAATGGTAACTGTTTGCAGGTTGAAATAGAAAATGAAGAACTGCAAAGGGCAATTAGTTAAGAATCCAAGCTTTGTGGCGAGGTCATTTGAATCGGGCCTTCCATTGGGGTTCAGTGTCTTTCCATTCGCATAGGCAGCTCACAACTGGGAGAGTGCTAACGTCCACCAGATTTTCAAGTTTCACTCCCCTGAGCAAACAAGGTCGCCATTTTCCCGATCATGTTTTGTCCGTGAGCAGGAGGGCAATATGTGGGTATGTTTTGTCTTCTTCTTTTTTCCGAGGGTACCCGTTTTGGATGGCTTCAAAGGGGCACCAAAAGGACACCGCAATGCCATGTTGGAGGTGTGAGCCCCTTTGGCACTTGCTCCAATGCCTGAGGCTGATGCAGCTGCATTTCGCGGAAAAACTGAATCCTTATTTTTCAAAAAGCTCAATCCTTGCTGTTCTTTCGGCAGCAAGATACTTCTTGCTCTCCGACGCGCTTTGCTTTTGGCACCCATTTCTCCCTGATGTGTGTCTTGCATGTCAAGACTGGGCTGCCCTCAGATCCCCCGCTAAAAGTTTAACTTTTAGTGGGTTAAATGGAAACTACCACCAAACACTAAAAAGCCAAACAGCCACACAAATGGCCAAACGCCACCAAGAAAGAAACATCCAAATGGAAGGAAGGGACTTGCGGGAAGGTAAGTCCGCATTTGTGACCAACATGTGGGAAGGCCGTGAAAAAAAAAGAGAAAGAAACTTCCCGGCACAGTTCCGACCCAAGCGAGTTGGCCTTGACTGGCCTCTGACTTCTTGCGTCGCCCCCTTTTTTGTGGCCTTCACCGGTTCTCCGGTGGAAAACCGCGCTGCTGACCGGAGATCTGGATGACCGCTCCCCGTTCTGTGACTCCCAGTGGGGTGGAAAACGAATCGGAAGCTTTGATGGGTTTTGGTACTTCCCAACTCAAAGGGGTTGATTTCAAACCAATTTGGTACCAATGAAACCCATCTCCAGAAAAGAATTTTAAGAGCGTCGTCAAATCCTCAAACTGCCCCGCGCGATTTCAGGCGGTGTTGAAGGCCACCCTGCAAGCGCAACTCTTCAAGGGCCCTCAGCCCCACTTTGATCAATTGCGCGGTCGACACACAAGTTCCCGAAATCCCATGGTTTCCCGTGGTTTCGCACACTCACCTCGTGATTTCACGCAAAACCAACCGTGCTTCTCTCAAAATGCTGCTTCGAGCCCCTTCTGGCTGGCATGTTGAGGGAAACCAAAGACAAACCAGCCACTTTAGGGACCGAATCCTATGAGAAACTGAAGCCAGACTTGGCCACCTCTTGTCTAAAGCTCCCTGGAGTCAGAATCAAAACCAATGGTCTACTCAGAACCATCTAAAGAATTCAAATGGCGGCACCCATTGATGGTTGGGACTATCCCTAGCCTTCACTTACCCGGGTTCTGATTGTGGCTCGACGCTCACTGGGTTTATCTCCCCAGATTAACATGACACCCAAACACCACACATCTTTAGAATCGGAATCTCCTCTTGGGAAATGGACCCCTCTTTTGGTTCCTTCCATTAATTTGCAGGGCAAGCTTGTTGAGCCAACATGGGTTGTCTCACAATAGGTTTCACCACCCAAAGAAGGAGTCGCTTCCTATATGTCCAAAACGGAGCACCAACTTAATATGTTGTTTTTTTTGTATTTTTGTGTTGTTTGGATTATGCCGTTTCTTTTTATAGTTGTTTGCTTTGTTCTGTTTCTCTTTTTGGCCCGGGGGGGGGGGGGGTGCTTTTGGTTTCCCTTTTACAACAACAAAAGTCGGGTACCAACGTGCCCCTCTAGGTCCTCCAGTTGAGAGGTTAGAATAAGGTTACCGACTTCTATCTGTAGTCTATTTTAGTAGGGGAACCCTACCCCAATAAAGTTGGTCAAAGGGCACTACTGGGGGACCTAGCAAAGAGATCAACCCCCGCGCTCACGTCATCGCCGCCACCGCCGAGTTCCTCGTCCGCCCGTCCGTCCGAGCCGAGGAGCGCGCGGCCAGCACCGCCTGGATCACCAGCAGCGGCATGGCGCAGTAGCGCGCCGGCACGCTGTCGAAGCCCACCTAGCCGTCAGCAAGGAAGGCGTCAGCCGGGCTTAGGTCAGGGAGGTGAGGGGTCACATTGGGTCAGGGTTCAAACCCGGTGACTTCACATATCTTTATAGTTGGGTGATGAAGGTTCATGTGAAACCCGGTCAATTCATACACTTATAATTGGCTTCATGTGAAACCCAATGGACTCTAAAAAAGATCTAGCATTGGTTCATGCTTCCCTGGGGTCAAAAGTCACATGGCCAAGATTGAATTGACATATCTATAATTGGTTGATGACCTGTAGGTCTTCAGGATTTGTTTGTTTGAGCCATTTCCGGGATTGGCACAGACATGGCAAGGTTGAGTCAAAATGTCCCTTCAGATGTTGATCCATTTACGCTCAATTGAAGCGATCATCACATGTCAGGTCCACGAGGGAAATTGAGCGCAGAAGGTCATCGGAGTTCCTGAAAGATCGCCTTCGAGAAACATCTGGCGCTTGGTGTGCCTTTCTTTTTGTGTGTGCTCCTGCTTGTAAAGGAACACCGAAACAAAAATGCGGAGCCCGATTCCTAAAAGCCATTTGGTTGAATGGGGGTTGTGCAAAATTACTTCTGAAAACTGCCCTTCCGCCGCCCTTCTGCAAACCTTCCGCGCACTTCCGCGGCCATTGTAAATCTACACACAAGTTCTCACGGGTTTTTGATCAATGTTTTCGGTTTCGCGTCTCTTCCGCGCGCAGAGTGGGAAGCTCATGCCATGTAAGCCTGGAAATTCGGAATACTAAACCGAATACATGGATTTCAGCACGGCTCACGAATGAACACTTTGCTGTTCCAATCAAGACCATCTCGCCACTTCCGTTGGAAAGAGGGAGAGTTCGGGGCATCTGAAGCCATTTGGGTCATAATCAAAACCGATCAGTGTTAAAACGGTCCCAGCACCATGCTTCAAGAGGAAAAAAAAGCGGCGAAGGCACCCATTTCTGGTTGGGATTCTCCCATAGCCTTCATCTACTCGGGTTTTGATTGCGGCGTTTATCGGGGAACAACCCAGAAAACCGTCATCTTTGGAATCGGAATCGTCTTTTGGGGAGAGACTGTTGTCTTTTCTTCGGCGGGGAGGGGGTGCTTTTGGGCGCATTTGGGGGGTTCCAGATGTTGACACAATCAAAACCCAAGGCGCGCAGAGGTTGTTGTAGCCCACCAAGCTGCGGAGGATGTTGTCCCGGAAGATGCCTACGCGCAGGTGGCACGTGGCTTCGAATGTGTAGGATCCTTGCGTTGGTCGACTACTGCGCTGCCTGCGTGGCCAAGACCGCGTTTTCCGCCTTTTCACCAAAAGGACACCGTTGCGGAGCACGGAACGGCCTTCAAGTTCCATGTGAGTTGGCGCACCGGGGTCAAAGGGGTAGCCTTTCAACTTTTAAACAAGCACCCCTCTCATTTTTCGCCTCTCTCTTCAACCTTAGCCTTACCCTTTTGTAACATGTCCCCTGTGTAAAGATAGCACGCTTCCCCCTCGTAGCCTCAAACAGTCCACAAGGTCCTCCAGTAGAGAGGTTAAGGGCACCTTCGAGTGGGGGAACCCGCCCAACCAAAAACGGGTAAGAGGGTACTGGGGGACCTAGTCCATCTTACCAAATTTCATGATTTCTCAGCCCGGTGGCCATGCAGCACTTCTGTGGCCAGCTGAACCATTGCCATGATATGGGTGCGGGTCAAATTAAACCACCAGGGGACCCCATGTTTTAGTCCTGGGCTTGGGTACCCATGTTTGACCCACCGCCATATCTTCACGGTTTTCCTTGCAGTTGCCGGCCTAGGAGTTATGCCGATATGGATCCTTGAAGGGGTTGTTTTGAAGGCAAACCATAAGGGCAAGCACTATGCTTGCCGCCGCTACTTTGCGACAAACCCAAATACAACTTCAGCAGTCCCTTCTGCTTTCCCCAAGCGAGACGCCGCGAAATTGTTGCTTATAGTAACTAACAACTCAATGTGGTTGTTCTTCTATGATCATGACACACGTTGGTGCTTGTTCTTTTGCTGTTCTTCTATGCTCATGACTCAATCTGGTTTAACGTCTCTCAGAAACCCAGTCTAAGCATGGCAAAGCCGATACGGCCCTTATCTGAAAATCACCAGAGTAACTTGTCGGGCTCCTCCAACTCAGCTGGTAAAGCTGATTTTACTCATGGCCACCATGTCGGCGTAAACTGGTTTCCTGTTGGATTCTGTTGGCTTCCCTTGATCAACTGCTCCAAAAGGGCATAGCCTCCAAAACAGACCTGCAGCCTCAAAAATCAAAAAGACCCTCCCTAAAAGCTCTCCAACCAGAGCCTGTCGACCCCAGACCTTGGTAAAAAGACACACCCTTCAGCTCCCACCGACTGCTTTTCAACCATGTCCAACTGGCCAAAAAGCATTCGTTGGGGTGCTGGCAGGTGTCCCTTGAACCCTGAAACCCTCAAGCTCGACCAATCGACATCTTTCCAAGGGACAAGCAGAACATGCCCGAGGCTCCTTTCGTGTTGCGGAAGGTTTTTTGAAAGGATACATTTGGCCAATCATCACCTTGGCAAGCTTGAAGGCTCTGGCAAAGCAGGTTGTCGGATTTATCTTCTGAGCCCAGTTACAGTGATCTTCTCCATCTTTCCCTTCTTTTCATTGCACATTGACATCTTGCAGAACAGCAGCAAAAAGACTCGTGATGCCGAGAAACCTGCGCTGGCTAGTAGAAGTAACCGTATGTAAATGGCAGGATGTCCAGCCGCCGGGACGCTGCGGGTGGCAAGAATGCTGGGGATGCAGTTGTCTTTTCTATAGTATGTATATATGGGATTCAATTGTTACGTTAGACCCCCGGAGGAAACGACGTTAAACGTGAGGATAATACAAGTGGCTATCTGAAATTGATGCTGGAGATGCTGGGGATGCTGGGGGGCAGGAAATGCCGCCGGGGACGCTGGATGCTGGACTTGCGTTGCGGGCTGCCGCTTCTGGGATCGCTGTCTATATATATATATATATATGTATACGTATATATATATATATGGGCCTGTTATATTTGGGATTGGTATGTACACAGGAGATTCAATTGTTCCGTTAAACCCCCGGAGGACACTACGAAACGTGAGGCACCGAAGGTGGTGGCCTTTTCGGGGAACCAATTGAGGTTCCAAGCTTGGCAAGATAGAGGACTTTTTTGGAATACTGCTTCGTGCCAAAGCCAAACACAAAAACTACTTTTGGGCACTACTCTTTTTGGGCACGAAACTTTTCTGGAACTTAAACGCATGGATCTGGCGCGCATGGAAGCCATGTGCCCTGCATGTGCCTGTCAACTTGTTCCACACACAGCGACATGGGCAGCGCAGAGATGCTCCTGTACAGTGAGCCGATTGGAGCTACGCTGCTGAACACACAGCGTGTGACATGGTGACACCAAGCTGCGTTACTTGCCATCAGGCCGCGCAACGGAATCTGGCCGCACAATGGAATCTGTACGTGGTCCTACTCAAACGTGGTCAGCGCACGCGCACCATTGATCAACATCGAGCCCAAACACGTTGTTGCTGAAGTTGGAAAGGGCCACTCATGGTGTGCCAATCCAATGAGGCCGTACAGATCTGGCCGCCAGGGCCAATTACTACTTGCAACTCCTTCTGCGGAGGGTCAAATTGGACATGATTAGCCAGAAGGCCTGCAGCACACGCAACTGGGGTAGAGCGTGCCCGATTCCTCGGGCAACTTGAAGGGACCTCCACTTCGGAGGTAGGTCCATCCACCCACCCATCCATCCAGCCATCCATCGCGCACGGCTCGGTTCTTTTCCTAGAGGAAGGGGCCGATTCGCGGAGCGTGAGCAAAATAAAAATGATAATAGTCGTAAAATAATAATAATACTAATAATAATAATAATAATAATAATAATAATAATAATAATAATAATAATAATAATAATAATAATACTAATAATAATAAATTAATAATAGTGTATACATATATATATATATATTTGCCCTAACCAGCCTTGTAAACCAAGCCCAGCTTTTCGTTCGACCCGGACGCTCGTCGAACACCGAGTCGCCTGGATTGAACATGGCGGTCACCAGCCAAGAGACGCCGATGCAGAGCACGAAGCACTCCCCGGTGGCTTCCAGCCAACGCTCCGGCATCTGGTAGAAGACCTTCTCCACCTCAGGCGCTTGTTTTTTTGTTTTGTTTTTTTTGTTTCCCAAACACAGTGTCGACTACTAGGTCCTGGCGCTTGTTTTGTCCTTTTTTTCTTCCAATCACAGTGTTACTAGGTCCTCCAGATTTGAGAGCTTAGAATAAGAATACCCACTGTAGTCTTTTCGTAGGGGAACCCTCCCCCAACCCATGACAATAGCAGGGTGCCCACAAAAGTGGGTGGCATTCCCTCCAAAAGTGGGCACACCTAGTCTAAACCAGGGGCTTAGCAAACGGAAGCAAGAGGCCTGAATACCTCTTATAAGTTGGAGGGAAGGCTCAATATTGGCCGGGGGGGGCGATTCTTACACACCCAAGTGTTCTTCTGCAATTTGGGCCGGAGCGCCAGCTGCCCAACGCGACCCGGAAAAAGATGCAAGATTGCATGAAGCATGTTCACGGTTCGAACACCTAAGCCCCAGTAACATGTGCATGAAGCACATGCGACAGCTTGGCTGCTTTCTCGGGGCTTTGGTGGCCAAAAGCCGCTGCATTCGGTGCATCCCTCAGCCACTCTTGCGGTGACTGGTTCCGGCATGCCGTGCATCTGAATCGGGCCAAGGGCCAATGAAACTTTCATGGTTCCACGCGTGCAAGAGGTCTAAGGGGCTATGGTCACACTCAAGACCAGCCACAACACGAGGGGCGAAATATTTACATGTAAAACAAATTATGTACTATGTTTGTGCGGGGGGTAGGGGGGGGGAAAACAGAATACACACCATAGCCGTACTAGAACGAGTGGCCCCGGGGGGGGGGGGGGGAAATATTGACACACAAGTTTGTTCTATCATCTTATAAGTCATTGGCAAATTTGGCTTACCCCGCAATCTTCTAGTTCACCAGCGGACAAACAAACTGAAGGCCCCTGTCCCCAGAAAACAAGGTTCTGACCTTCCTGGCGGGTCCTGTGCAAAACGGTTTTGAACACCTGCCGTTTTTGTGCGAAAACATTAAGTCTAAAAAACGGTTTGGATGTGGTTTTTGCGGATCCACCCCCGTGGGATCTTCAAAGAGTGCCAAAAGAGTACGAAAAAAGAGAATCCACAGGAGGGACGAATTAACTGAGGCGAAAGTGAATGGCATTTTTTTGTAGGTACCTGTTTTTCTGTGGTTTCCGTTGTGAAAGAATCAGTCAACCCCTTTTCTGCCACCCCGCTGGAAAGGTTCGTACCTTCTACTTTGGGTGCAAGATGGGGTGGACGTCTGCTTTTGTTTTGCCCACATAGGCAGCAAAATCATAGGGGGCTGGGTGCTTGAGGGCTCTGGACAAATTCAACGCCCGGGGTTGGGCAAATTAGACAAAGCCGCGTGCAAAAAACCTGTGAGAGATGTCAAGTCCCTCTCAATCAGACCAAGACCTCCACTTCTGACTGGACCAATCTGCTTCCGGAACCTAGGGACCTCTCTCCTTGAAGAGAGATCCCGAGGACGCCAAGAACAGCTTGACGATCTCCTGACCCTTTGGGGAAATGAGCCTGTTTGGGGTTCCGTGTGAAAGTTTGTGGGGCTCTTTGAACCCCAAAATTGGGCTCCTCTTGCATGTATAGAGACAATTGCAAGCAGGAGGTGGGACACTTTGAACGCAAAATGCTACTTGGCCCTTCGCGTTAATGGTGGGGTGGGGGGTCTTAACTGCCTTTTCTTTGTTTTTCGAAATTTGGGTGGTCCCACTTCCCATTCCCCTAACCAACAGTAGACTGCCAATCTATTGTCAGTTGCTCACCAGGTTCCAGCAAACAATTGCTGCCTCTCCCTTTCACTGGTTTGCATGTTTTCTACTTTGCTGAGGTTACATACTCTTCTTGGCTGCGATGGACAACTCAAAGTGCTGCCCGTCCCATCCTTTTTTACGGACCTCAACCAGAACGACCCTTTCCCACACCTTATCCATACGGTGATATACAGAACCGTGCGCAGCTTCCTTTTGACATCCCTTTGAAACTCGAAACGAGTACACTCAAAAGACAGTCTCCTTCGGCCAGTAGCATCCAATGCCTTTGATATGTGGATATTCGGGTGTCTTTTGGACGACCCCCAAAAATTGTGGTTGTCCTTTTGGCTTCCCTTCAAAACCATCGAAAACAAAGAAAGAGGCTATCCTCAAAAGAAGACACGCCTAAATGGGCTTGTCGCCGTCCTTGTGGTTCCCCGAAATGAAGCTCAAACAGGCTCCCTGAAAACAAGACACACCTTTTCTGCGGCTTCGCCTTAGCATTGAGCCGCCCTCTTGCAGCTCAAAGACCACACAGAAAGCCAACCCACTCATCACCATTTCCTTATAAATCCATCGGAAGATATACAACTCTGTCACGGACCAATGGAAGCAGGGCTTACCTTCTCCAAAGGAATCGCTGAGTTGTCGTTGATGTTCACCGCTGGGTGAGAAAATGAGGATCCACCATTGAACCAGGTGTTGTGATCTAATCCCTCATGAACTGTCCATTGCTGATTCAATTTGCCACCAAAATGCTGCTCACGAACAATGACAACTAAAACCGAGGAAGTGCGTCTCAGAGCTTGATCTGGGCCACTTTCTATACATTTTTAGGGTGTAGGGCCTGAGCTCGTGACCCAATTTGCCCGATTTCACCTTTTTGTCAGGCATTCCCATCCTGTTCATTTCAGCCAAAAGGAGTTTCTACCCGGCCATTCGCCATTTTCACCATGCCCACTTTTAGGAAACAGACATGAAAAGTGGGAAGAGCCCTGCAAGGCAATGCTCAAACACCTTTGCGCAGGGAGCTCACTAAAATCGGTTCTAAAATGGGTGGTGCACCTAATTACCCTAAAATGGTACCATTGGTTTTGACAACCACGGCCATATCAGAATCGACCCCTGAAATTGGCGGATTCCATTCCCACCCTTTTCTGACCCCAGGCGCGTCGGGGTACGGGCGACGTGCGAGCTGCCACAGAGCCGGCCCATCCCTGCGCAAGTGAGGTCAGAATGGATTCCCTGGTAGGTGAATTCACCAATTTTAGTCGAGATTTTAGTGGGGATTGGTTGATGTTCACTGGGCTACGATTTGGATTTTGACCCATGGCCAGGTCAGAAAAATGGACACCCCATCCCTGCACAAGAGCCAAGGGTTACCCCAAACCAATCCAAACCGCGTTAGGGGGCGGGGGGTGAAGCCGTTTTTGGTCCTTTTTTTTCTCCGGGCGTTTGACGCTCTCTCAAAAAGTGCTGTTTTGGTTTAGGGACCTGAGGGAGTTGTACCCTGGAAGGTACATGGGCCGCCACTTCTCAAACCTTTTTAATAACTCCAGATGCAAACAAGCAAGCAGTTGCTGGTGTTCTTCCAGTTCTGCTTGCAGGTCAGCACAGTTACCCTATGCTACCCAAAGCAAAGGTGAATCGGTGAACCCTGTTTAACACCCTACGAAGATGTAGTGGGTTCAGCCCTTAGCCAAACGCATGGCTCAGTCAGGTCAGCATCCAGCGGCCAATGGGACCTAACTGGAGGTTTCGGGAAGAACTTGCTCCTCAAAAATAATGAACGCTCTGACGGGTTCCATGGACTGTTGCCAGCCGGGTTTGGCACAAATAGCCGAGCCATGGCTTAAGGTGGAAATGAGCCGAAATGCCATGATAAACAATATACATATCTTGCAATCATTCCCAATTCCCGGCTGGATTGGCAAAAAAAAACTGTATTTACCACTAAACAGACTTGGAAAACCAAGTTGAAAGGACAAAACCCAATGGCCTCAGATCTAAAAGTGAGAAGCCCGGTTGCTATTTTCAGGCCAATTGGGCAGCCCAAACGTTTCACCCCTACCAACATAGTTGCTGCCAGTTTATGCGGGTATGATTTTCTAAGGGTAGGACCCAATTTTTTCAAAGACTTCAGGGATTCATATCCGGTTTTGGGGAGTTCTCTGGCCATATCATGGCCTCATGCGACTCTGCCTCAGCTGCTGTCCCCAACTACACATATGTTTGGTTTCTGGTTCGTGTATAAATATATTGTACTTTCCATGGCGAGCTTCAACATCTAAAACAATGTCAAAATTGTGCAATGGCCTTTCTGGGCCGATCCGAGTTTGAGTCCAAAATCACATCTGTCATAAGTGGCTGGTTTCCTGTTGGTTGATATACATTCAGTCATGCATACATACATACATGCATGCATGCATACATACACACACATACCTACATTACGTTACATCGCTTTACATGCATACCTACATCCCAATCTATTATACGCATATATACATACAAACCGATACATTACATTAAAATACATTACGTTACATTACATTACATTCCATCCATTACATACATACATACATACATACATACATACATACATACATACATACATACATACATACATACATACATACATACATACATACATACATACATTACATACATACATACATACATACATACATACATACATACATACATACATACATACATACATTACATTACATACATACATACATACATACATACATACATACATACATACATTACATACATACATACATACATACATACATACATACATACATACATACATACATACATACATACATACATACATACATACATACATACATACATACACACATACATACATACATACATACATACATACATACATACATACATACATACATACATACATACATACATACATACACACATACATACATACATACATTACATACTACCTACATTCCATTACATTACATACATACATACATACATACACACAAACATTACATACAATACATACCATACAATACAATACAATACAATACAATACAATACAATACAATACAATACATACAATACATACATACATACATACATACATACATACATACACACCTACCTACGTACCCACCTACCTGCCTACCTACATACATATCAAGAGGTGGTGACAACTTTGGCACACCGTATGCAGCAAAACATGCAGAGTGCCTGCGCAAGCACAGCAGCTTGCGCGAGTCTCACCAGCTTATTTTTCTGTGACAAAATTGCCCACCTTTGAGGGAGTACATCTCACGCGAAACTCTGTACAAAAAAAGTCTCAATCGAAGTTGCGAGGACTGTAGAAATAGCACTCGCAGGTCCCACTCCGGAACCAAGTGCACCTAAACCATCTCCTGCCGGTTATCCGCTGGTAAATCTTCCACCGGGCACTGGTCTGCCCGCACGATGGGCAGACATGGTAGGCCCCTGGAAAAGTCGTTCGAGTGGAATTGCAATTGGCTGGCCCATGATGTTCGAACTGCTGAAGAAGGAAAAGCCCAGCCTGCGGCGCCACGCAAGTCAGTGTTGGCCAGCTCGTACACCAGAATGCCCAATCCAGCATCTGGATGCACGGCATGTCCTGACATCACGTGTTTATTGTTTCTGCCAGGGGTCAAGCTTAAGCAGCCGGACCCATGAGGGTGACGATGTTGGGGCGCCAGATCTTTGCCAGCACCTGAGTTTGCGTGATCCATGAGCACAGAATGCGCGCACCATGGCGCCAGCCTCCAATTCATTCTGCAGGCTGCTCTGTTTCCCGACCTGCGAAGCCACCAAATAGTATGATTCTGAAGCGACTACAGGGTTCATCCCTGACAAGCAGTGGAATCCTAATTGCCCTCTCGCACAAGCTGTCGAACAACATATATGCTTTCGTTTCAAGCCGGCTCAAGCATTCTCTCCTTCACAATGCTGCACTTCAGCTTCTGCCACACCAATGCCACATACACACATACATACATGACATGACATCACATTACATTACATTGCATTACATTTCATTACATTACCTTTGCCTTGCGTTACACTAACATTACATTACGCTACAATACCTTACATTACTACCATTCCATGCCATTGCATTTCACTACATTACATTGCATCACATGACATTACGTACATACTTACATACACACATACTTACATACACGCATACATGCATGCATACATACATGCATGCATACATACATACATACACACATACATTACACACATTCCATTCCATTCCATTCCATTCCGTTCCATTTCCTTACATTCAGACAGACAAACATAAGAGGTGGTGACGACTTTGTCACACCGTATCCAGTCAAACATCCAGACGCCTGGCGCGAAGAAACCGAATCCATGAGCAAAGCTACGTTGGTACCAAATAGGTTTGTGTGTTTGCTGAAATGAATGTGGCGCGCGAGCACCGGCCGTGGCTCTGGGCTTGCCTCAAACCACAGGGCTGCGCGTGAACAAACCAAACCAGCTAGGTTTCTGGCCTGAGGTGCGTGCCTGCACAAGCGCAGCAGCCGCTGCGCGAGTCTCACCAGCTTATTTTTCTGTGACAAAATTGCCAACCTTTGAGGAAGTACATCTGTTGCTGCAGATGCACCTGTCTGCTTGAGAAGGAAAAGCCCAGCCTGCGGCGCCACGCAAGTCAGTGTTGGCCAGCTCGTACACCAGAATGCCCAATCCAGCATCTGGATGCACGGCATGTCCTGACATCACGTGTTTATTGTTTCTGCCAGGGGTCAAGATTAAGCAGCCGGACCCATGAGGGTGACCATGTTGGGGCGCCAGAACTTTGCCAGCACCTGAGTATGCCTGATCCATGAGCACAGAATGCGGGCACCATGGTGCCAGCCTCCAATTCATTCTGCAGGCTGCTCTGTTTCCCGACCTGCGAAGCCACCAAGTAGTATGATTCTGAAGCAACTACAGGATCGAACAACAGATATGCCTTCGCTTCAAGCAGATTCAAGCATTCTCGCCTTCCCAATGTAGGACTTCAGCTTCTGGCTTCTGCCACACCAATGCCACATACATACATACACACATACATACATTACATTACATTACATTACATCACATTACATCACATTACATCACATTACATTACATTACATTACATTACATACATTACATACATTACATACATACATACATTACATTACATACATACATACATACATACATACATACATACATACATACATACATACATACATACATACATACATACATTACATACATTACATACATACATACATACATACATACACATACATACATACATACATACATACATACATACATACATACATACATACATACATACATACATACATACATACATACATTACATTACATTACATTACATTACATTACATTACATTACATTACATTACATTACATTACATTACATTACATTACATTACATTACATTTACATTACATTTACATTACATTTACATTACATTACATTACATTACATTACATTACATTACATTACATTACATTACATTACATTACATTACATTACATTACATTACATTACATTACATACATACATACATACATACATTACATACATACATACATACATACATACATACATACATACATACATACATACATACATACATACATTACATACATACATACATACATACATACACAAACATACATACATACATACATACATACATACATACATACATACATACATTACTTACATACATACATACATACATACATACATACATACATACATACATACATACATACATACATACATACATACATACATACATACATACATACATACATACATACATACATACATACATACATACATACATACATTACTTAAATACATACATACATACATACATACATACATACATACATACATACATACATACATACATACATACATACATACATACATACATACATACATACATACATACATTACATACAGACATACATACATACATACATACATACATTACATACATACATAACATTACATTACATTACATTACATTACATTACATACATACATACATACATACATACATACATACATACATACATACATACATACATACATACATACATACATTACGTACATACATAATACATTACATACATACATACATACATACATA